ACCCCAGAGGTGCCCTCCCCCTCCCCCCCTACCCCCCCCCCCCCTGTGTGTAGGATCATGATAGCTAGCAAAATACCTTTGCCTGCACAGAAAAGGGCAGAACAATGCATACTGGAATAGAACTGATTAGTTTACACAGTTTGCAGGTACTAATAGCAATGTAGAAGCAAAATAAAGAGATGAAAAAGGCAGTGCTTTTACAGATATGACAGAAACATTTCATGATGAATGTAGAGTACACCTAGTGTAGGAAATCTTAGCTGTGAGCATTGGATTTAGACTTGGAATTGTACATCTAGTACAGATAGAATGCAGACTGGTCAGCTAAGTTTTCCAAAGGCAATGCTTTCTCTGTCTTTTAAGTGGATTTGCGTTATCAGGTTAAAAATGCAAATGCCCTCTAACTGTGGCTTTATCTGATTTCCTTTTGAAGTGATTTTGCTGACTTTCAGTCTGAATTCCTGCAGGCTTCCTTCTGGCATTGAACCTTACCTAATATGTGGGTAATTACAGTATATAGTCTCTTGAATGTTATGTTTCCTTCTTCCCTTTTTTCTTTTCAGAAATTGCCTTACAGCATGTCTCAATGTTCTTCAGATCAGAACCAAAGTGGGAAGTGGTAGAACCATTAAAAGACATAGGTAAGAAGAGCATTTATGGATGAAAACTTGTCTGATTCTTTTTCCTAACTATGCAAGTTGTCCTAAGATTACAATGTCATCTTTGCTTACAGACCTTGTCCTACCTGTAAGCTGTGTGATTTAGTGGTGTTTAATTAAAGCTGCTGCTGCCTTCTCTTTTTTTGGTAGGCTGGCGAATACGTAAGAAGTATTTCTTAATGAAGATTAAGAATCAACCAAAGGAACGGCTAGTGTTAAGCTGGGTACGCATGCTTTCATCACATGCTTAGTTCTTTCATAATAAATCTGACTTATTTCATGTATATTAACTACCATGTGTGAGTGACAGAGAGATAGACCGAAGAGCTCAGGCTTTGAAAGAGGCTTGATAGCCCTTAGGTGGATGTGTGGTGTGAGAACTTCTTGTGTTTCTTCTGGTGGCACATCCAGTTTGCAAATTTCTGTGCATGGTCATTCATTTCCATTCCTGCACCTTGGGTTTCTTTATTTGTAATGGTGTAGCTGTTGATAAATTTCCTCACTGAAAATAACAAGGTGATCCTTTTTTAAGTGGTGGGTTTTCATGGTCAGATCTTTAGTTGTACTGAGAAACTAATAGGTGAGAGAAGCATGAATTGTTCCTTTAAGACAGACATGTATTGACACCAAACAGTGTTGTTACTGAATGCTTGCTTATGCTCCTGTGCTGAAATGTGTTGCCCTCTTAGTCATGTGAACGTAGCTGTTTGTGAGACTTCGCTGGAGGGTGGATCTCACTAAAGCCTGCAGTAGGAGGGAAGTTGTTTTGCTGGAGAGGAAGAAGGTGGGAGTTTAAGCCTTAGCATTTCACAATGCACACAGTCCCCCAGTTTGGGGTTGGCAGAGTTCATTCAGTGGTAGTAATGCACGTCAGACACAGAGGAGGAAGGAGGCAATAATACTTAGGGTCAGACGCTTTTATTGTAAAACCATGGCCTTGTTCATCATCTTCAAGTTTCATTCTGTATCTGTTATTTCCTTGCTTGGTCTTCAAAATATATCTTCAAGTAGCTGTCTTAATTTGTGAGAGCAGAATATAGACCACTTTTTCTTTATGGAGTGCAACATCTATTACTATATGCCTTTCTTTTCCTTTTTATTTCCAGGCTGATCTTGGCCCTGATAAATACTTATCTGACAAAGACTTACAGTATGCTGTGAAACTACTTTCTTCCTGTTCTGTGAGTATGACTTGAAGACATTTAAATTGTGCCAGCACAAAAGTGCTTGTCAAGGACTAATCTTGTAAAAACACATGTAGCTTAGCAGGCAGAGTTTGCAATTTTAGAGTTGCTTTCATTTAAAGGTGTGTGAACCTTTTAATTACGTTGCCCGCACAATATGAGGTAACATGTTCTCAGCACAAATAATCCTGCAGGATTATTACAGGAGGTTCAGAGTTGTGGTTTAATTGTATTTTTTTTTCTTCTTGTGCAGTACTGTGAAATGATGAGCTTTTATTTCAGCTCCTCAACAGTTTAAGAGTCTAGCTGTAATTGCTGACCCTTGTGCTGGGGGTATTCTCAGGTAACAGTGGATAAGGCAGTGGAACACGAGTATTGTTAATTCTTCAGTTCTTTGAACTTAATGCAGGACTATCTTAGTAAAGGTACCGTGGAGGCTGTATAGTTCAAGCTCTGGTGCAATGCCACATTATAAATCCAATAGGCACCTCTGAAAAACTGGCATTTAACTCCAAAAGGAGTTTCTCTTTAAGGATGTTAAGCATGTGAGAGACTGGCTGAAAAGGGTCGAAAACCTCTGTGCAGTCCTCAGCAGATGCACACAACAGAAGAGGCTGTAACCAGGCTTCTCAACCCCCAAACCAGACTGAAACTGATGCATTAAAATAAGACATGAACAAGGGCTCTTTTCCTAACTCGTAATTTCAGTTGGTGTATGTATTGCATGTATAATATATTTCCAACTGCGCTGTTTCATTTGGTTTCACAAAGTTGCAGGAATTTGTTACGATAATTTCTGAAGACAAAACTGTTCTGACAGCTGTTAATGCTGAGTTCCCTTATGAACCATAGTTGTATAAAACTGTGTATGAATTTATTAGCTTAACCTGACTTAAACCTGCAGTAAAGCTGCTCATGTATGAGAGCTGGATTATTCATTTGTCTAAATTGCCAGTCTGTTTTCTTAAAAAAAGATAGAGGCTACTTTATTTGTTTGTATGTTTTAATTTATGTGGAATTTGAACAGTGTCTTTCTGAAGTTTTCTTTGCATTTATTCCAGGTTGAGATCAAATAACTTGAGCAAATATCACTGGCAGAATCCAGTTTATTGCTTTAAATATACAACTCAGGCAGATCTTTTCTTACTTGTGAAGTGAAAATGAACTACAGAATGTGTCATCTAAAACTTACCTACAGTTTCTTCTTTTGGTAGCATCCCTATATTTACAAAATTACTTTTGCCATTGCCAATGAATCTTCAGCGCTGGTTATTAGACCATTCAGTGAAAAAGGGACACTAAAGGACCTTATTTATAAGGTAATGTTTCCCCACAGCCCCCAACTTAGATGGTGAATGTTTGTTGGAATGACCATAGTACGTCTTTCATAAAACTGTTTACCATCTATTACTAAGCAAAGTAAGACAATTACTGGCTTTTCTGGGCATGATTCTTGATATGTGTGTTTCTTTTAAAGGCAAAGCCAAAAGACCCATTCCTGAAGAAGTATTGCAATCCTAAAAAAATTCAAGGTCTTGAACTTCAGCAAATAAAAACATATGGAAGGCAAATCCTAGAGGTATTTTGTTGCTTTATTTACCAGCCTTCACAAGGTTGTTTTTTTGAGGTCAACTGGTTTAACTAGAAAAAGTAGATAAACCTGAGCAGAGAAGCTTTATTTCAGCAGCAGACTTCAAAGCTAAATCTAAATTGAGATTAGCTGCTGGGAGTTGAATTTAGATATGTATGTGTGAGGCGATTTCTGACCAAAGAAAAGGCAGGTGATACATGTGAAACATAAGTGGGAGAGAGGTGATGATGTGTCTTTTAACTCTTGGAAGAAAGGAAAGAAGTAATTCATAGCCTGCAGAACACATGCCATGAATTTAATGTCATTAATGTGTTGGGTTTTTTAAATTTTTTATTAAAACTATGATATTCAGTAGAATTGTGAACTTTAGTTTCCAGATCTTTCTGGGAGGTGTCTATAAGCCTGCTTTGAGGACCAGCATCAAATGTTTGTTTTGTGAGAACTGGTAACACTGAAATGGAAATGAATAGCCAGGCAAAGATGATATAGATGGAAGATCAAGTTGAGCAATCATTCCAAATAGGGGCCTTATTATGTATCTGCTTTTGTGTTGGAGGATGTAAGATCTTGAGATCATCAGAGCATCTTGTGACAATGCTGCTGCATTGGGTTTTTTTCAGGTATTAAAATTCTTGCATGAGAAGGGATTTCCTTATGGCCATCTTCACTCTGCCAATGTGATGTTGGATGGGGATACCTGCAAATTACTGGATCTAGAAAATTCCTTGTTGGGACTTCCATCATTTTATCGATCGTACTTTTCACAGTTTCGGAAAATTAATGTAAGGTTCAGTCAATGAATTCAGCTGACACTTATGCATCCCTTTATCCTCAACTTCTGTTTGTGGAGAACTGACTAGAATGAAAAAAACCCCTCACTCAACCCCCTTTCTTTAATCTGAGCTTTTCTCCATCAAATCCCTTTTCTGCTTCCTCCAAATCACTGTCTGGCTGCACAGAAATGTTGTTGCAGCACACTGGAGTGAGGCTGAGGCCAAAGGCAAGCAGGTAGAAGGGGAGTGCAGGTGAGTGTTTCTGTGACAAACAGGGCTGGCACAAATAGAAGTAAACTGCAGTTGTTTTAAGATCTCTTTCCACCCTGATCTTGTATTTCATAGGAATGTGTATATTGTGTACCACACATCTCTGCAGGCTTGCAAAGCAAAATGTTATCTTCCTACAAACATAGAACCCAAATTTTACTCTGTGGCAGCAATACAGTTTTTTAGCCAGCATCCTGCCCTGCCTTCAAGTGCTCGTTGTAATAAGTTCCATACAGCACCACGAGACAGCTGCTTGCTGACCTTGCTGAACAAGTTTTACTGTGTTGTCAAAGAAACGATCAAAAGTTCATGGTCAGTCCAAATCTGTTAGTGCAATCAAAGCTCTAAGCCTTTTTTAGTAAGAGGAGACATTTCTGTTTAAACATGATTCAGAAATCTCTGAGATATTCTGTCTGGGAACTTAGCATGTATGTACAGCTTGGACTAACCTAAGTAGGAGTGAAAGAGGCTCTCCTAGGTTTGTTTGGTATGCATTTTTGCTGTCTTTTTATCCACCTCCTTGTAAAGTGACAGCTGGTCTTACTATGAATCTCACTCTTCGCAGTTTGACTTAGCTAGGAAAGCATGCTTGGTTGTGATTCCTGTCAATGTATGGCTTCTAAACTGCTGTGTATGAAAAGAGTTTACTACTTCACACATTTTTACAGAACATATCTACACTGCTACCCATTTGTATCACCACGTACAAGAGCACAAGAGCTGCTTTAGCTTGAGGTGTGAAGATTTCATTTGAGCCAAAGTAATGCAGGGAAGTGGTTGTGGTGAGGAACTGTGTTAATGATTCCTCTTTTTTATCTTCAAATGCAAGAGCATTCTTTTTCTTTAAGGGGTTATCACTGCATGTTTTCAAACCAGTTGTGAAACTCTGATTAGTTCTAACAAATTGTGTTAATTTGTTCCTCCGCAGACTTTAGAAGGTGTTGATGTACATTGCTTTGGACACTTACTGTATGAAATGACATATGGAAGACCCCCAGATACAATTCCAGTAGAGAGCTTCCCTCCTGCACCATCAGTGTTTGTTGGTTAGTATACAGTTGAGAACACATCAGTCTCAGCTTCCTGGCTACTCTTCTTACCTTTTACCTAAGCTGAAATGCTGTGAAATAGCAGCCTAAGATCTTTGCAGCATGTGACCAGAAAGAATTAGTACTTTGTAAATACAGAAATTGTGTTCTTCCTGAAATATATGTAACATATAAATATATATATTTAGGCTGAGTGCTAAAGCAGTGTGTAGTAAGTAATTAGATGCCTGGGTTCTCTTGCCTCATGTATAGCGTTCTTGAAAAGCTTCTATGTGTAATAGTAATATTATAATAGAAACCACATGGCACAGAGCTTCATCACTGCTCAGCTGATGCAGTGCTTAGGGGAACATCACACAGCAGTGCTAGACGTTTATTCTAAATCATTTGCTATCCTGCTGTGCAAAAATGTGTTTTTTCTTATTCTTTCTTTGGTAGTGTCTGTGTTGGAATCCATTCTGACCTGTGAAGCTATGAAGAATGGCATGCCAACTGTCTCACGGCTCTTACAGATGCCGTAAGTCTTGTTTGACTTGTTTTATGCTCATAGCAATGTTTTTAATTATATTGGGAGGAAGAACTTTCTTGCTCATGTTCCTTTTCAAAAAGATGTCTTCCTTATTCTGAGGGATGTATAGTGTCTCCCAAATGAAGCTTTAAAAGTGATAGGCTTTGTAGAACCTATCCCTTCTGAATGTGATCAGTACTCATTTAACATTTCATTGTCTCTTGATGGGCTAGAGCTGTTATGAAGGCACTTTATTTAGCATGGTGCTATGGTTTAAATTGATCCAGCTATTAAAGTACCGCAAGTGTGATTAAGATCACGTACAGGTATGTTTAAAGCATCTAGAATAAGGAGTCTTTTTGCATGTCCCCTTCAGACTTACTTCAGTAGATTTTGCTGTCAGTTTACTTATGACTAGCAAAATAAATCTCTTGCTTTGTTCCGCAGTGATATTTAGACTGAGTTTGGATATGAAATGTTGTGTGGAATTTCTGGCTGATTTCTTGCAGGACTGGCTTAGGGGCTCTCTGAGGCATAGACAGAATAAATTTCCTTGCAGGCTGTCCGGGTGATGCAGTGAAGTAGTAAGAGCAGTTATGGGGCAAGACTAGGATGCAGAGAGGAAGCAATGTCAATGCACAAATGACTGAGCTGGAGACCGTACCTGTCTGCAGTGCCACCCGGCCTGCAATTAGGACACAATTGTCTGCTGTCACTGTGCTGTGACATGTCACCAGCATGCTGACCACAGAACTGCAGTTCCTGGTGGGGAGTTCTTTTATTTTTTCTTAATATAAGGTGCCAGAGTCATGACCTTAATAAAGGACAGATTGCCCATACCTAAATCTGGGTCTGATCTCACAGTGTACACACTGCAGTACATTTAGAGCATGCCCCAAGATTCCTATTTACTGGTTGGGAAGAGTGCAGGCTTGTCTCGGCCTTCAATTCTTTCTACTCCTCCCTTCCTCTGCCCTTAGAAGAGGTGGGAGGTAGAGAGAAGAATGAAAGCAGGCAAGAAATAGTGTAAGGAAACTCTGTGAATACAGGAATATACAGGTCTCAAAAAATGTTGAATACTCCATGCCCAGCTGGATCTGATATGTAGGATATCATACTACATTCCCTTCATACCTTTCACAAAAGTGTTCTACATACATGTGCAATGCAATTAATGTAATTCAAAATAATTAATGTAATTTAAATACTTATTAAGCTTTGTTATTTATTATAACCATATAAACTATGTGTTTGCTTAGTTTTGCAAGGACATGTAATCAGTAAGGGTCAGCAAAATGGCCTGTAAACAAGGGTGAACTTTGCTGGTAGTTTTCAAAAGTTGTTTAAAATTTGCTCTATTTCATGGGATTTTTCATGGAATACTCCTCTTATAAACTTGATTCTAGACTTGAATTCGTTTTCTCTAGTATGGGCCTGTGATAATTTTCCACAGTGAACAGTAACAAAAGATCTCTGAAATATTTCTCTCGGAGCCAGGCTTGAGATCTCTATCTGGGACAGTTTTCTAGTATGTTCTCCAGGTCAAAGTATCTCGAAATGAACTGACCAGTTTATTTTCAGACTACCATTGCCCTCTAGTGTCTTTGTTTTGGATGGAAAAGGATGAATCATTTATGCTGTTGCTGCTGATACCATAGAGGGGAGAGTAAAAATATCAGAATACTTGCTTTAGCTGTGTTGCCAGAGTACAGGCAAGAATGTTCCATTCACTCATTGATATTTCACATCATTCTTGTTAATGCTAAAACAATAGTCATGCTAACAGAGTTTTCTTTAAAAGAGCAATTGTTTTCTTTAGGTGAAATTTAAAATGAAGTCCCTGTCAATCTTTTGTCATTATAGAATCCGTATATTTTAAGGAAGAGGCACTCTTTTTTGGGAGAACCCTTCTCTGCCTTTGCCTCTCTACCTGTTCTATCAACTTACAGAATACTCCACACAGTCTGGCTTACTCTGCCATCAGTAGTGGCTACATTCTGAGGGTTGGATGCTGCTTATTTTACAGCAGTGCTTGGAAAATAAAAAGCAGTACATAAAAAACTGTGGCAAAACAAAAAAACCCAACAGTGACCTGGTGATGAGGACAGAGAAGGAAAAGGAGAAAGAGGGAGTTAAGAGAACAATACCAGTAGTATTCTTACTGTGGTTCTGCCTCTTTCTTGGGAATAATATTCCTTTTCTATTTTTTTTCCTTTTTCATCTCCTCACAGATTATTCAGTGATGTCCTGCTAACAAACTCCGAGAAACCGCAGTTTAAGGTAAAGATGAACTTTGATTTACTAATGTTTGTGGAAGTGCCAGGCTGTGGGTAGATACACGTTAATTGACAGTGTAGAGGAGAGCTGGCTTTATGGTGAATGCCGTCGGTATTTGGATTCCTTTGCTGAATTGTACCCAGGAACATTATATGACCCCTTAGAAGAGGGGCAAGGTGTGGCCCAAGAGTGTTAAAGTGCAGTTCCTGTGCTGGAGCATTCCCAGAGCACTTGTCTTGGAGGGCATGTGGTGCATGTTTGTGTTGGCAGCTGCATGGCACTTAGAGGATGTGACTGGAGTATGAAATAGAATCATAAAATCCCAGACTGGTTTGGGTTGAAGGGACCTTAAAGCTAAACCAGCTCCAACCCCCTGCCACGGGCAGGGACACCTTCCACTAGAGCAGGTTGCTCCAAGCCCGTGTCCAACCTGGCCTTGAACACTGCCAGGGATGGAGCAGCCTCAGGTTCTCTGGGCACCCTGTGCCAGCACCTCAGCACCCTCACAGGGAAGAGCTTCTGCCTCAGAGCTCATCTCAATCTCCCCTCTGGCAGGTTAAAGCCATTCCCCCTTGTCCTATCTATAAATAGATAGCTGTCGCTGCAATTAGCGTATCCCTTCTATTATTTGCTGTTTCTTTGTCCCTGTTGTTAGATACATAGCTAGATTTGGAGTGGAAAACATGCATCTAGAGTCTTCTTTTCCCCTTCAGTAAAGGAATAGTGTCAGAACTTGGGGCTTTATATGAGCAACATGATTATTGAGATTAATGGTGAGTTTTGAGTAGTGAAATTGCATTTGCCTTTATGATATTTTGTGCTATGATTTTTCCCCCCATTCTGTATTAGATCCCTACTAAGCTAAAAGAAGCATTGAAAACCTCCAAGGAATGCATAGAAAAGCGACTAACAGAAGAACAGAAATTGGTAATGTCTGCATTTCTTTATGTCCTACAAACATTTCATTTCCTCTTATTACTTTTGCATGGGGAAAGTGAGTTTTTACTTAGAAGTGATTTTGATTTAATAAAGGCTTTCATCAACAGATTGGCTTTCCCAAAAATGCAGTATCAGGAGGTGTAGAACAGCTGTTGACTGTGTGGCATTTCACTGTTTCAAGTGATGCAGCTTCAGAGGCAGCAGCTCCTAAGTTAAGGGATCATTTTAACTGCAGTGTGAGGCTTCATCCTCTACCAGCAACAGTAAAGATAAAAACTAATAATGAAAAAAGAACTAAATACGCAAAGTGACTTCAGGGAGTTTTCTTGCACCCCAAACACATGCTTTGTTTGAGAACATTTAAGATCTTAACACGGTGTTTTCCTGGTTTTCCCTTCATTTTGAAGATTCACCAGCACAGAAGGCTGACAAGAGCTCAATCTCATCATGGCTCTGAAGAAGAAAAGAAGAAAAGGAAGATCTTAGCACGAAAAGTAAGCAATCTTTAAATAGGTTTCTCACACAGAAAAGATGTGTGTTTATATATCTGTATGTATTTAATGTTTAGCATGCACAACCACAGGTATGCTGCTCTGTTCTGTGTTTTTCTGTACTACTTCCTGATTCTTTTCACTTGTGTAGCTAGGCCATGAACGTCTTAATAAGTCTCAGTTACAATGGTAGCTGACTTACATTTTGGTTTAACCTGTTCGAGGTGGCTGTATGAAACTAGTGAACCTCATACACAGATGACAACCTGTGCTGCTTCCTGCTGCCCGGTGAGGGTACTGGAGCCTTTTTTAGTCTGCTGCTGCATCACACTGCCTGGGTTTCCCTTCCTTTTTGGTGGGTTGGTTTTCTGCCTCTCCCTTGTGGTCAGGAGGCACTGGAGTTGTTCCAGTTGCTTGCCTGGAGTTACTGAAGTGCGGAACAGCCTTGTTGCTGTTGTCATCATGGGAGCGTGTGTTGGGTATGGGTAGAGATATGTTGGCCATTAGTAAACCTTGTGTGATACAGTAGATGGCTGTTATAAATCTGTGTGTCTGATCAATGTTATAATGGAAAGCAATTTATTAATTCCAATCTTTTGTTTCTTCTGCTCCATTTTAAAGAAGTCAAAACGCTCTGCCTATGAAAGTGGGGAAGAACACTCAGCAAAATACAGCAACTCAAATAACTCAGGTAACTACAGAGAGAAGAGCTTGCTTCTAGACAGCTATGGCAATGTGTTTGTGATTGCTGTCATTTTTCTGGCTTAAAAGACCCAGGCTCACTATCAGTTCACACATTAATATTGGACTACCAAAGCCTGATACCACTGGTTTGGGTATTTAATAACAGATAAATCAAAGATTTGTCTATTACAAAACTATTATTTATCTATTGTTAAAATATTGTCCGTGTTAGATTTTCAGCTGCCTAATTTAAAACGATGTGTCCTCTCTTCTGTGCTCCATACCTCAAAAAAACCCAGTTCATTCTGTTTGATATTTGAGTGTTATAATAAGATCCGTTATTTGGGCCATTTAATAATGCAGCCTTTGGGAAGAAACTGTATTCTGTAATACAGAATGATTATGGGTGATTTGTATTCTGTCATAAGGTGTTAAGATGAATGAGAAAATTATCTGTTTAACTGCTGCTTCAGTGCCCCATTCTAAAACAACGGAGCCTTTGAGAGGTCTTCCTTTAGTTAAAAGGAATGGTCAGTACTACAGAACACTGACTTGGCTAAAAAGTGTCCAAAAGCAGCCTACTGTGCAATAGTCAGTTATCAGAGTAACTTCTGGCGTGCAGCAACTGACTGAAAATCGTCTCTTAGAAGAACAAATGTGTTGCCATCCATGCGGTGGCACAGCTCTTAAGGAGAACAGAATTTGGACGCTGCAATCCAACAGCCTAATCAACAGAAAAGAGATATTTCCCATTGAGGAATTCTGTTAAGTGTGCTGCTTCTGTGTCTGGACCTCCTCTGATAGTGTGTACTGTAAAGCCTCTTGTGTTCAGATCAGGTCTTAGTGACACTGCTCCTACAAATAGGGATCCTTCCCAAGATTTCAGTGGAAGCAGGATTGGATCTTCTTTCAGTAAAACTGGCCTGTTTCCAACAATGTGTCTTGTCTGACTGTTGAATTTTAATGTCACAGCTTTAGTTACTGTTGTTTTATTTAGCAGGCTCTGGGGCGAGTTCCCCATTAACATCTCCATCATCCCCCACTCCGCCCTCTACAGCAGGTAAGTTCAAGACTCATTACAGTGTCTCTTTTTGGTTTTCTATTTCCCCCCTGCTCCTCAGTTGTGGGTGTTATTCCCAAGGATGGTTGAGGGATGGTGGTTTTCAAAGATGGAATGCAGAGACGACATTTATCTTGTGTCAGCTAGAGCATGGGCATGTTCCCTCTTTTGAGGGCCACAGAGAACCTTTTAATACTGTTCTTTTTCATTGAAGAACCTTTCTTGAGATATACATGATATGATTTAACCCACAAAGTGTAAATCTGTATTACTCCAGGCCTACCAGCATTGCTGCATGCCAGACCTTCCTGGGCCTCGTGTTGCAGTATGCACTTGTTCTGATGTTAATGGTCTGTTGACTCTGAAATACTGTTTGTTGATCCTTTGTTTCTGTGTATTGTCTCTTCACACCTCTACTGCTGTGATGCAGTTTTGGGATTTTGGGGTGTGACAAATTCAGTGGCTTAGGCTGCATAAATCTCCCCAGTTTTGCTGCAGCCCATTGATAACACCAGTAGAACTGGTAGAAACAAGTTAAAAGATTGATTTGAGTTAAAAATAATATCTTTATTACCTGTGGCCATTTCTGTTTTCCAGTTTGCTGGGTAGCTGTGCAGACAGTTTTGCTAATGTTTAGGACAAGTGGTGGGAAGTGGTGAAGAATCTGATTGAGTGGGCAATAGAAATGCTGATGAAAGATTGATTGCAAATCTGAATATTGAGTGGTAGTGGATGTGCTTCAGTCTGAAAAGCTAGAACAGGAGCACTGGCAAACATTAACAGCAAAATGTGTGAATGGAATACATTTCTAGAAGGGAAGCAATCCGTGGCATTGCCATCATATGACTCATGCCATATGATTTCTACTCCCAAGAACTTTCTGCACAGCACAACTCCTTAACCGAAGCAATCAAATTTGTGTTTGCTGTGGATGGTCTTTGAAAGCACACTGCAGCCTGTGTGATGTAATTCAGATCAGTCATGCTGAAACGCAAATGAGTCATTTCTCCTTCGAGCTGAGGGTATGCTGAAGTGTAGGTTTTATGAACTGACTTCTCCCAGTTAGTCTAAACAAGATAATTACCGTTATTGTGTGGCACAATAACAGTGCTGTTCTCTGCGTGTCCTGACTCTTGGTTGGAGGGTTTATTTCAAGTTCTTTAACAAGGAAAGTAGCTGAAAATGCAAAAGAAAAGCTCATGCTTACAGAATGGACAGATGTTTAGAAAACTTCTTTTTTCCTGCACTAAAACCACCTTTTAGTTACATTTTAACTTGAACCTGTTGGAACTTGGTGGAAGGCTTTTCCAAGTTGTGAGTATGTGATGCAGGTTCATGTGTAGATGTGGCTCAAATGGCTCAAGTTTGGGCTCAAAACTTGGCTCTGTTGTTCAGACTCATGGTGATTTGTGGTGACGAGCCCTGCTTGACATGGTGCACGTGGCCCTATGTGCATTCAAATCAGAAGGTGCTTTAACGTGCCAATGGCTTTGATCCTTTTGATTGTGTGTAAGGGCAAGTGTTACAATTTCAGGAATGCTTTTGTGAGTAGAATTCATAGAAGAAACTTCAGATGCTAGTTCTGAGAGAAAGCTAGTGTGCCTGATTTCTGTCACCAGGAATGTTGCAGTTTTAGCTAGTCTAAGCAAGTATGCTGTAACTGACTTGACTTGATTTTCTTTGTGACAAGTGATGCATCTATAGTTTGTACCTCTCTCTTCCAGTTTCCTTGTACTTACTAAGGATAATTACTTGTAAACCAAAATTGCTTGTGTGTAGCAGTTTGGCGAGATGACTCTCAAAAGGGGAGTGAATGGGGCTTTGTGGTTTGGTCATGGTTGTGTTAGAATCGTGACATCTCAAAGCATCTTGCTGATACAATGCCGTGGCAAAATGAAAGCTGACATGGAAAAGTGTACCCCGCAGCAGCTCTTGCCCTTGTCCTGGCCTTTAACCAACCAAACCAATGTAGTGTATGGGTATGTGCCAAGCCAGCGGCACTGACCAAAGGGGCTCCAAAGCTGAGATGCCCTGGGGAAGGAACCTTGTTCGGGGGTTTCTCACACATTGAGAGCTGCTTTGCCTCTGGACAAAGACCTTGTGAGACTCAGCTTGCAGCAGAACATGCTAAGAAATCAAATGACTGCTGGCTTCCAGCTGCAGCTGTAGGATTCAGTGCATGGGCTGCTTCGAGGGGAAGGGTGTCTGCTAGAAACTTAGGCTCTCATGGGCTTTTCTTATTGACTAGGACATTTTGGGCTGTTTTTTTCCAGCTACTTGGCTAAGTAACATCTTTGAAATACACTCTTTAGATCGTGGCAAGTGATTCTAATGTAACTTCCCATGTTTCTTCCTTGAATGTTGATTCTTTTTTTCTCCACTAGCACAATTCATTGCTTCCTTGAAATCTGCTACTTTTCCTTTGTGGCTGTGAGCTGTGGCTAGGATCAGAAGGGATGCAAAGCACTGGGGTATAGGTTATCTAAAACTTCAGCGCATCTCCTCTAAATCCAATAAGCCCATAGGATACTAGCAAACTTCCTTACAATAGAGAAGAATTTGAAGAGTACCATTTTTGCTTCCCAGGGCTTCCCTTTGGGAATCAAGTGAAAGAGTTGTACTTAACTTTAGCTACTTTTTTCTGTGCCAGTTGTTCCGAGTCCTTCAGTCCGACATATGTTTCATAGACACCCATATGGTGCATCTTTTCTGCCCTTCACCTTTCTGTAAGACAATTTGAATGCTTTATTATGTGCTCTTCCTGAGTGTCTCTGACCCATGCAACATAAGTGTAAATACAGGTGTTTAATACAGCAGGAAGTTCCTTGAACTGAATGGATTTCGTCTTCTATGGCTAATCTTCCAGTAGATTTCTTGCTAAATCTCTCTTAAATGCACTTTAATCCTGAAAAGTTTGAATTATGGCATGTGCAATTGAAAGCATGTGTGTTGTGTTTGTTCATCAAGTGTAATAATGCTTTCAGCATGGAAAATTGTGGTTCGTTATTCAGAATCATTACTGCAAATGTACCATGAAGTAGTTGAGCTGTTATCCTCAGAGTTGTCAGTGAGTAAGAACGTATTGATTTTTGTACTAACTTTTCAGCTGACAGTATCTGTATTTCTCACTTTGACACGAGAACCAGGTGATTAACTTGTGTCCTCTCTCTTTTTCTGCTGTCTTCAATAGAGCATGCATCATATTGAACGTGAATTTTCGGAAAAGTAAGCTAATGCTGATTTCTCTCTTTAAAGATGCTCTGTTTCTGAATGGGAAAGTTTAATGCAAGACCTGAACTTGCTTAGGATTGGGAGGGAATAGAAGAAAAAGATCTGATCATTCTGATGGACTGTTTTAATGAAATACAGCATCTTTAAAAACTCTCACTAAAATGATTTTCTTTGCACCCCATTCTCAGCCAAGTGTTTAATGCTGCTTGCACAATTACTGTCACTTTAAATTCATAATTAAGTTTTTGTTTCAATTCAGGCATCAAGTTTACAGCATCTGATTTACTTCCTATTCCTTTTAACACACTCTTTTAACAAAAATGTCCCTGTAAAAAACCCTTGGTAAGTTCTTGTTTGAGTGTTTTATTCTTACAACTGCATGAATGAGTAAAATGTGTGTCTGCAGGCAACTTCTTCCAACATATGTGTTAGAAAGGTGTAGTGATAACTGAGCACCTGTCTCAAATGTGAGTTTTTTTTCTAGTAAATAGAAAAATATTTCGTTTTGGGGCAGAACAGTTTAATCTGTAGATGTAATTGCATATGAGAACACAAATGTGAACTAAGATTTCCTTTGCCCCACTCGTGTCAAGAAGAGGAGGACAGCTTGGTTTTGATTGACTGAAATGAATGGATTTGAAGATTTCCAGAATCATGTTCTTAATTAATAGGTTCAATATGTGATGCTCATAGTTAGTCAGATACCATTCTAAGAACTGTGTGTATTTATGTTTTAAGGCAGAGCTCAGATGTACCTGAGGTGTAAAAGTATCATTGTCTGTAATTAGTCTCACAAGACTTTAACTGTGTGATGTTGTCAGCAGCTCAGTTTCAATAATAGTGAGGAATTTAACCATTTGCCAGGAGGAAGGTGGCCTCTTCCCCTACTTCTCTGCTTTTCTACCCCCATTGTAAAATAACCAGACCAAAAGTTGAAGATAACACATGGAATCTTGGCCTAATAATACTTAGTGATCCAAGCTCTTCGTGGCTTTTTTGCCCCTGTCTCTGTCATATTCTTTCACTGGATATGTTACCGTTGTATTTGTGTTCCATACAGACCCCTGGCCACTTTTTCATGGTCATTCCCTATTGCATCTTGTCCCACTACTTGCATAGCCTCTTCAGCCTCACCTTGCAATCCCAGCCAGAAACCTTGTCATTGTTCTCTGCGCTTCTTGCATCATTTGGAGCTGTTTCATCTATGATGAGCTGATCTTGGCTGGTTTACAGCAGTTCATCTGATCAGTTTGGTGCTAGCATTGCAACGCCAGTCCTACAGCATTCTGCTTTGGCCATTTTAACCACAGAAGTGATTGCTTGAACTGTCCTTGGTCTTGTTCTTCCTTTGGCAAAAAGAGTCACGTTTTGGTTTGCTGTGCTTTGCTGACACACACTACGCACATGAGAAACAGGAGAACTCTAACCTACAGGATGGTTTTCCAGTGTTTCTAATAGTAAACTGACCTACATGTTTGGCTGGTGTAAAAAGTAGAGTTAGAGAAGTTCAATGGCCCCAAAGCATCAATGTACAATTTATTTCAGCCTGTGCTAATATTGTGTAATGTTTTGATTACTGAAGAGAGCAGTTGATCCACATGCAACAGGCATGTTAAATTGTTTCAGTTGATCTCTCATATTTCTATGAGGACTTGAGTATTTCCTCTGGAAGGGAGGACAGTGAAGACAAACCCAATATGTACTTCATGTTGTGTTGTCACAGAAGGTTTTCATGCCAATGAGAATTTCTCCTGAAGAGTTGGAAGTGCTACAATCACAGCGTGTATTAATGTACCCTGACAAAATGGGATGCTTTGTGTTAATACATTTTCGTTTTGCTCCCATATGGGAAAAGTGTCTCTTCAAATACTGGTACAAACAGAAATTGAGGGAGCTTTGAGTTATGACTTTCATCTAGTATAAATGCTTTTTCTTTTAATTACAGAAATTACTTTTTTCATATTACTTGGTAGTCTGAGAGCAAGTGTTAGTGAGGAATTGAGAAGTGAAACAGAGAACATTGCCCTCTTTTTCTTCTCTGTAGCTGAGCTTTATGCTTCATAATATACCTCTTGAGTCTGTGTGCCATAATGTCAACTGCTTGCTATTTGCTTGCTTCATAGCAAGCAGTTCTACTTCAGTAACCATAGGCTCTTGGTTGGCCTCATGTTGTTCTTCTTTGTTGTCCTTTAGTATCATAGTTGTTGCCACTTATCAGTGTATTCCTGTTTGTAGGTTAGAACTACCAGAAGAGAGTGTTAGACTATAGGTGCTGTTTGTGTCTCTTACTATGGAATAACTCATGATCTAGATTATGGAGTTAGAACTATTCAGCAGTGAATTTTAAGGTGTTAATCATTATGCCCCTCCTCATTCCAGAATATGACAAGAAAGGTCCATCATTCCCCATATAGTGGGTGATGGGCTGCAAATGCCACTTTCATGTGGATGTTTTGTGGAATGGCACATGGTCACCTCTGAAGCCCTTTGTTCTCAGTCCTACCTCGATCTTTGATTATGTAGAGATTATAGTGCAATGTGCAGCAGAAAAGTTGCACAAGAGCAGGGGCAAGTAAGGCCACTGCCTGGATCTGAGCTGCCAGGAAGCAGCTCCATGCAGGCCCTGCTGCTGGGCTAGCTACCTGTGGGCACCAGGGAGTTGGGATGTGGAGGCTGGGGCAAGATGAGCAGCATGAGATGGATGTGACTCAGAAAGCAAGGGTAAGAGTGCAGAGGTGACTGGTGAGAACTCAGAGGCAGGCAAGGGGTGTGAGTGGCAGATTGTTGTGATTCATTCAGCCTGTGGAACAAGCATTTGTTACAACATGTTTGGAGAAAGTCAGTACTGTGGAAGTGTAAAGCACTTCCAGAAAACTCTATCTGCAGTTAGTACTTGAAAAAGGAGTATAATCCAACCAGGCAGTCATCACAAACACTACCGTGATGTGGTTGGCCCTAAGAACACAGCCATGAAATAAGAACAGAGTGAGATTTACTTCCAGTCTTTGTTACTGTTCATGACTGAAAGAGCAAACTGCTTCACTGGGGACAAGCAAGACAAGCTGAAGCTGGGAGGTCCTGTTAAGTGATCTTGTGTTTGAGTCAAGTTTTGCATCCCCCAGTTCTGAGGCGCTTCAGGCTTCCTTTCAGAGGTGTCTCAGATGGCACAACTCACCTGCAGATAGAGGGTTTTGATCACTCTGACATTTTTCATCTGTTCTGTTCTTCACACTCCATTGGCATTTAAGGGATGATGTGACTAGGGCAGGACTGACCAAGTCCAGCTCAGCAGCCGCAGTGCTTTGCAGGACCTCCTTGGCATAATCAAACCGCATCTTCTCTCCTCAACTCAACAGGAGCATCGTCGATACCCCCAGCACCGCCTCCGCCGCCCCTGCCACCAGCAGCTCCTCCTCCTCCGAGTACAGAGGTGCCAACACAGCCAAGCCCACGGCCTGATGTCAGCACAAGCCGAGGAGCCTTACTCAGCTCCATTCAGAACTTTCAGAAAGGAACTCTGAAGAAAACACAGACCTGTGACTACAGTGCTCCCAGGATCAGCTGAGGCCGCTGGGCACACCGGGATTGAATTCCCTCTCCCCCTCCTGTGCTGTCTTGGAACAAGACCCTCCTGACCAGCAACTGATCCACCAGCACCTTGTCACGCTGGAGCTCCATTTATTCTGTTTCAGCTTTCTTTGAGTAGCAGCACTGCCCTGGCTGAATTGTGTTGCCACGCTGCGATAAGTAGTCTCCAGTCTTCACTTGGTTCCAAGAACATTACTGTCTAGCTACAGTTTCAGGGGTACAGCAACTTCTATACAGCTGAATAAAAATCTGAGAATAGGAATTGCCATGATCATGGTGAATTAATGCATATTTTTCCTAGCTCTGTTCCGCTCCTTTTTCCAAATTACAGGTCTGTAGTTTTAGCCTGCTCAGTTTTTCAGCTCTTTTCATGCACTTGTAACTCATCTTAATTCTTGCTGCCTTGAATCAGCAAGTTTTGTTTTAGGTAATCCACCCCCCCCATCCTTAAATCGTACTGCACAGGTGAGGGAACTGGAGAATTAAATCTTATTCCCACCCTAGTTGCTGGTGGAGTAAAAATGCTGTCTCATTAAACTTGTTTAAACGGCCATCCTCCCTGTAACTCTAAGGGGAAGTGTTTTTAAATGAGGAAATGAGTTGAATGGGGAGTTAATAGGGCACTGGGATATTATTCTTGATTTAGGTAAATGCAAAGTTACTTCCAAATTAATTCTACAGCTTAAACTTTATTGAAAGAACCTTTTTTTGATTTAAAACCTTAAACAAATTGCACTTTAAAGGATTATAGATAATCCATTTTTTTAAATTCAAGTACATCCGTGTTTGTTACTATGCAGAGAATGTCTGTACAAAGTTTCATGTAACCTGTGATATCCAGTCATTTTTATTAAAATGTTAATGGAATTCCTCCAGCAGTGTGGTTGTGGGTATGTTCACCCAGGATTGCACCTGAAGCCAGACTTCCTAAGAACCTAACAGCAGTTCTGCGAAAGGGAATACCCTGAAAGGTATTCCTGGCCCTTCATGGTAACAGGATCCAAGTTGTTCTGCTACTTACAGACGTAAGTATGTTTTCTCTCCAACAGTTCACTGGAAAGCTGCCCTAGCCAGGGTTTGGAGCAAGCCAGGCTGATAACGGCAGCTCTCACTCTGTACCAGAAGCTGCTGAACAAAGGCCAGCAGAGCCCTTCCTGGACTGAACCCCAGTGCACAGCCATCTGCTGAAAGGCTGCTGCCGCTTCCCCAGCTCTCCAAACACCATCTACACAACTGCTGCTTCAGAGCTCAGCAAGTCTGGATAAGTCTGAGTAAAATAGCTTATTTTGCACTGTAAGAACTACAGTTTGAGCATGCTGTTGTTAGCCCATGTGATGAGTTTTAAACAAAACAGAAGCGCAAAGCATTTTTATCACTGTATGTAGCTGTAAGATAAGAAAAACTGTGTAGTGTTCCCTGTCACATACTGAAGAGGATCTTTATTAAATAAAGCTCTTGTGCAGAAGCTTTCCTGCATGAGCAGAGTGCTCAGAGTGCAGGGTTTAGCCCCTGTGTGCAGACAGCAGCACTTAACTGCTGAACTGCCAAGTGAGGATTCACTCACTCCTGTTTGATCCTTCACCTCTTAATAAGCCTGTGACCTGGGCTCCTAGGGAGCCACAGCATTCCAGGGCTTGCCTTGGGGCCTCCCCTTGCTCACTGCAGTTCTTCCCTCCACCACCACTGCAGCCAGTTAACGCAGCTGGTCTGGTAATTAATTACAAGCCAAGCAGAAACAGAGGATTTTTTCCTCGCTCTCAAGTTTACAACAGGATTTCTCCACATACAGCAGCACCAACCCACCTGTACTGTTGAAGAAACAAGCATGACCACATTGTTGCTTATATGACATGTGGCTTAGAGGGTGACCCTGTATAAACATCCTGGGAGGTCACCAATACATTCCCCACTATACAAAAGTTCATATAACTATACAACAGAAGTTATACATACAACTTGCCCAACAACATAAACACTTCGTAAAGCAGGACTTTAAAGCATGTATTTACAACTTAGATGTTCAGTACTTTCTTCACTGCAAATATTATGTCCTTCACTTGAGGCACGCTGTAATCTTCTAGGATTTTTGCATAGGGCATAGGAACATCTGTACCAGTAACACGCACAGCTGGAGCATCCAGGTAGTTAAAGGCAGGTCCTGAAACAAGAGAGATGTCAGGTTGCTATACACTTTGGTTTTCTCTCAATTCAATTTATAAACCTTAATCTGTTCAAACAATCCTGTTCCTGTAGCTCTAATATTCCAGAGAAAGCTGTTCCTGCTTGTTTATCTTCATGCACTATGGTTCAGGCAAAACAATTCTATCCTGCTTCTCTCACAGTAAAGTTCCTGGAATAAGGATTACTTGCAATGAAGATGAGCTGGATCTACCTTGTGACAAAATACAGAGCAAGACATCTAGGTTCAAGGTCCTCAGATCTAGAACCCTGACTTTGTATTCATCTGGCTTTATCAGGAAGTCATCAGGATTTAGACTAGAGATTGAGATCAACACATGTAACTAAAAAACTTCCACGTACCTTCCATGATCCTGGCACAGATTTCAGCTCCTACTCCAAATTGCGGCCAGCCTCCTTCTACAGTTATTAGATGGTTTGTCTTCACAATGCTGGCTTCCACTGCTTCAATATCCATTGGTCGGATGGTACGCATGTTTATAACCTGGGGAGAAAAAGAAAGACCCTGAGTTTTGCTACGATCTCAGCCTGTCAGTTACTACTTAATAAAAGGGTTACGGTGCCCTTTAGCACTTCCACCTATTCTCACTTTGAAGACAAGACTTAACACTAATAACATTTCTAACTTTTTATTCTGGCAGAGGCTGCGAGGAACAGAATCTGGTGGCTTGTGGAAAATCCTTGATAGGTGAGTCTTGCTATGTCAAGATCCAGCCATACTAACATTCACTGTCATTGTTCTGCTTCTCATACAGCTGGCTCACTCTCAAAATCATCAGTAGTTCTGCCTTAATTGTGTGATGAAAAGGTCAGATGCAGAACCATGAAATGCCTGTGTTGCTAAGGCATTTAAAAGATTTTTTTCCCCACTTCAGGAAAAGAGAAAAGCAACAGAAATCTCACCCACCTCACACTCTACACCTTCTTTGGCAAGTACAGAAGCTGCTTCCAAACAGTGTCCAACAAGCCTTGAGTGTGACACTAATGTAATATGAGTTCCTGGAACACAAACAAGGGTTAAAAAATAAGCCTCTAAGATTTAGAAGCTTTTTTCCTAGACCTCAAGCTCCTTACAAGGTAATGTTAGGATTTCCTTGGAAATTTAAGTTCCTTAGGTTTATTTGAAACGCTCAGTATTCTGTGCCCACACACAGCATGAAGAGTGGCAGCAGCAGGACTCTGCTAAGACACAAACTACCCTTTAATTCAGAGAACTGAAGAGATACTTAATATGTTTTACAGATTCTCTTTTGTAAACATTCATATAATTCAGTGGTAAATGCTAAACAAAGGGGCTGAAATGCTACAGTGGTATCTTCGCGTTTTTGACAAAAATTACATACAAAGGTGAAGAAAAGAAGTTTTTCAGCCATCATGGAACAATTCCTGTGGAAGGTTATAGTTTTAGGTAAGAGAGAGAATAAGGTGATCTTTCTTTATATGGGCAACTGGCAATAAAGCACTCTACTGGATAAAATAACATTTCAACATTTAACATTTGAAATACTTCTCTGTGCCTTATGACAACCGTATTCTGCACAGCTATGAGGTTAAAAAACGTCTCCAGGCAGTTCAGTTAACAAGGAAATAAATATGCTCAGCTTACCTTCCCTTTCTATTTTAGCTTTTCCAATTGGAATAACAAAGTCCTTTGACTGTGCCTGCTCAGACAGTTCAAAAGGAACACCATACAGCAACTCACTTTCCAGCATCACAACTAGAAGAAAACATACTTGGATTAATGCGTATGCCTGCAGGCACGGGGCTGTCCTGACACTAACAGTACTGCAGCAGACTCACCCATTGTACTAAACCCATCGGGCAACAAGGACTTGAGTATGTTTGCAGAAGCAATTAAAATAGATCACAGTCTTTACTTCATAGAATCCCAGACTGGTTTGTGTTGGAGGGGACCCTAAAGCTCCTCCAGCTCCAACCCCTGCCACAGGCAGGGACACCTTCCACTACAGCAGGTTGCTCCAAGCCCCTGTGTCCAACTTGGCCTTGAACACTGCCTGGGATGGGGCAGCCACAGCTTCTCTGGGCACCCATCCTTACCCTTTTTAACCCCTTAACAATAGGTTCATAGATGTTTCTAGCCTTCCTGATTAGTACCAAACCAGCACTAAAAATATGTAGCTGTGGCAATAGCACAAAATCAATCTACTGCTAATAAGGGAAGTGACTGTTAGGAAAACAGTAAATACTTCTGTGCCTAAGTACCCTGAACCTGCAGTAAAGCAACCTTGAGCGTTTTAGGGTTTAATAATCTTGTTTTGTTTTAAATGGGGCAGGAGGGGAAAACAGACATTTTCTTTCAGGATCAGGTACTAGGTATTGCTACGATCTGCCTCTGTTCACCTGGATTATCATCCCGGATGGCTGCTTTCAGCAGACCTTTGGCATCTTCTGAGCTCCAAGGACTAACAACTTTCAGTCCCGGGCAGTGCCCATACCAAGCAGCGAAGCACTGGGAGTGCTGGGCGGCCACTCCAGCTGATGCCCCGTTGGGACCCCGGAAGACGATGGGAACACCGATCAATCCTGCAGACATGTAGCAAGTCTTGGCAGCCGAGTTTATGACCTGATCAATTGCTTGCATAGAGAAGTTGAACGTCATGAACTCACACACCGGTCTTAACCCCGCCTATTAAATATATTTATGTATATTAGGATATTTTAATGTAGAACTAAGTTTCATTTTTTAAATTGGAAATAGAGGAATGCACGTTTACAGACCATAGCAGCGCCAACAGCAATTCCTGCGAAGCCCATCTGAAAGAGAAGGAAACCAAAGGGTAAGTGCTGGGGGCGCAGCGAAAGGCAGTGTCAGGGCAACAGACAGGACAGCCTCACCTCGGAGATTGGAGTGTCGATGACTCTCTTGTCCCCGTACTTCTTCCAGAGGCCCCTTGAGATCTGGAAGGAGAAAGCACTCAGCGCCCGCATGAGGCCCTTTCCCGGCCCGGTAACGGCACCAACGTACCTTGTAGGCGCCATCGTACTGGGCCACCT